TGTTCTAGTCAGGAGGCTGACTAGAATTCCAGAATTAGGGTAATGATACAGATGAATAGAATGTTGGACAAGTGCAAAAGTTCAAGAGATGGGTTTGCAAGATGATTGTTTATTGTGTACTTGGTGAAATATGTGTAGAAACCTGTAAAATTCTAACAGGACTAGGTGCAGTAAATGCAGGAAGGATGTTTCCAATGGCTAGGGAGTCTAGAACCAGGGTTCACATTCTAAGGATATTGGGATGACTATTTAGGACTGAGATAAGCTTCTTCACCCAGAAAATGGTGAACCTGTGGATTTCTCTACCACAGAAAGTAGTTGAGGCCAAGCTACTGAATGTTTTCAAGGAGGAGATGGATATAGTTCTTGGGGCTAAAGGGATCAAAGGGTATGGGACAAAAGTGGAAACATGGTACTATGTGGGATGATCCGCTATGATCATATCGAATGGTGGAGGAGGCTCAAAGGTCAAATGGTCTGTTCTTGTTCCTATTCCTCTGTTTCTATGTGGACAGTTCAAAGAATGAGAAAATTACTCCTTCAGGATCAACCTAAAATTATGGGATATGGTACTTCGAATCTCATTTGGTGTAAAAGCCTAAAATGTATGTTACTTGTTTCTAAATAGTAAAGTGTGTGTTAATAAATCATTCTCCAAACACCAGTGTTTGGTGGAAAGACTTTTGTACTTTTAAATATTAAAAGTACTTGTTAGTTTGCTAGTTTAATCACAATTTGATGAGTTCTGATCAGGAAATTTTGGAGAGCTGGCACTAATTCGTATGTGGCACTTGTTTATGATCTTATTAAACAGTAATATATCCTTAAAGGAAAGAACCTTACCCTTTGAGCACTGAGATTTATACTTTTACTGATTAATTGAATAAAAACATTGGTAATTGAGTAACTTTTTCATGTAGCAAACAGTTTTAAGAAATAAAAACTGACACTGCAGGGAACACTCAGTAGCTTTCGAACATTTACTGCTATTTAAGACTTGAGCTTCAGGATTTCTGACTGGCAAAATTGGCTAGGAGGCAGGGAGCACAGGATGATGGGAGAAGGAAATTTCTGTGATTGGAACTTTGTTTCCAGTGGCATTTCTTTGGGGCCCTCACTGTTTGAGTTTTCATGTTTTGGATTCAAATGTATGAAATTGGTCAGGTGATAAATAGTGAGGAGAATAACTGTAAACTGCAAAATGTTGGGAAATGAAATTCTACCAGGAAAATGTGAGGTAATGCAGCTGGGGAGGACTCACGAGGGGTGATACCATGAACGGTAGGGCCCTGGAAAAGTACTGAAGGTCGGAGATCTTGTCCACAGAAACTGTAAGGTAGCAGAACATATTGATAAGGTGATTAACAAGGCACGTTAACTGAGGCATACAATACAAGAGCTGGTAGTTATGCTGGACTGTATAATGCACTTGTTAGGGCACAACTGTGTGGTGTTGGCCACTGCATTTATAGGAAGGATGTGGTTGCACTAGAGATGGTGCAGTGGAGATTTACCAGGTCTGGAGGATCTGAGCAATGAGAAAAGCTTGGATAGGCTGGTGTTATTTTCCTTGGAGCAGCAAAGGCTGAGGGGACCTGATAGAGGTGTTTGAGGTTGAGGGGCAGAGATGAGGTGGAACGGAAGACACTTCTCATTAATAAAAAAGGTCACGAATTAGGGAATATTGATTTAAAGATATAAAAAGCTAAGAGAGTTGATCATCTTTTCCATATAGCTTCCCGGGCAATGTGGTCTTTTGTACTGAGCCTCTACACGTCTGTGCCTTGTTTCTCTCTGTCTCTATCAAAAGTATAAAAAACATTTTCCAGCACCTTTCAGCTCTGAAGATGTCATACCAGATCAAAATGTTAACTCTGTTTCTGTCTCCACAGATGCTGTCAGACCTGCTGAGTTTCTCCAGCATTCTCTGTATTAATGTTGGCCATCGTTGTTGGTTGGCATAGACATGATGGGCCAACTGGCCATCTGTGGTGTAAACATCTATTATCTATTTAGAAAAAAATTTAAAAAATTGTTGAATATTGGTTAATTAAGTTTCTGTAGAGGTTAGGAAATCTAAAGAATTAAAGATTTCCAACTTGACCACCTAATCTGAAATTTCTGAGACATCCTAACTTCAGCTAGAGCCATATGTCTACTGCTTCAGCACCTGCCCATTTCCTCAAGAAGGTTGATACAAGAATCTTCCCCAAACCAATGTATATTTTTCATGAAGAAATTGCACTGGAGTTGTGAACTACTGAGAAGTAATTATTCAGTACGATGTATATATGAAGTGCTGCTAGAAACATTTGAACTAATTGTCAAATGTACACCATTTTCTAGCCTTGAATCACTTCCAGTTCCTGTTGCAATAGGCATATGAAGGGCTGCCATAGAAGATACAAGGAATAAAAGTACTGCCTGTGATGGAGATGGAAGTTGAGCCTTGTTCCTCATTTCATTGAGAGAAGTGCTGATCTGTTCCCACTGCTGTTTAACCTATCCTATTTACCAATGTCCCCTCTTCTCCATTCTGCCCTTTGGTTGTTTCTCCACTCCCATGGATAGTGAAAACAATGTAGAGACATGGGGAAGAGACGTGTGTAATGATAAGGTAGAGGAACAAAGGTCATGATGGGAGTGAGAACTTTTAAGTGGGAGAGGACATGGAGTACATGACAATAAGCACTGACTGCAATATTCAAGAAACTGTTGCTTAGTCATCTTATGGTAGAGCAGGCTCAAGGGTCATCTACTGATTTTATTCCGTATGGTCATATCTTGTCTTCCAGATTGTCTCAAATTATATTCAAATACAGTTCAGAAACTGGTGGATGCTGAAGGAAAATGTTCCAGTTGTCTAGCTGAAAAATGACTGATGCATCCTTGTCTACTCACGTTACACTATCTGTATTTTACATATTACAAGATATGTTAATTGTGACATTTTCAAGAAAGGAGATAAGACTGATTTTGTTAACCACAGAGGAATTTCCCTGCTGTCCAATACAGGGAAGGTTATTGTGAAAGTCCTCCTCAATTTCATTTTCCCAGTAGCTGAAAAGCTTGACCAATAGTTTTACTACAGATTCCGTCTGTCAAGAGGCATAGTGGACGTGATATTCATAGCAAGGCAAGTGCAAGAAAAATGCAGCGTGCAGCAGCAACGTCTATACGTGTGCTTCTTGTCTCTGCCAACAGGAGGGTTTATGAATATCCTCCTCAAATTTATCTGCCTTCAGAAATATCCCCTGTCTGCATGTAACCATGATCCTTACCAACAGAACTACTACAGAACCAATATGAGTCCAAAGGGGGGATCAGGTAAGGCTTGTCATCACAATAATGTGTTTTACTATTTTGCTTGTTGTAACACTCCACAAAATGGGCAGTTTCATGGATATGGGGTCACGCTTCTCCACAGGAATTGCAGGAAACCACTCAACTGTGTTCCTGTCCAGAGCCAAGGCCACTCCAACACCTGTCATCAAGCAGCAGAAAACAAATGGCTGCGTTGCATTCAATGAGGCTGAGCCCCGATCATTGTCAATTCATTCATGGAGGCACATGAGAGAATAGGCCATCCAGAACGTGAAAGTCCTCTACGGGACTTTGTTCTTGCTGCACAATATGACTAGTCCCCCCTCCCTCCTCGCAAACCAGACTATCAAGACTACAGCAAAAAACTGGACAACATGAATCATTCCCCAAAACTCAGGAGCCTCCTTTCAGTGAGGGCAGAGACGGTCAGACTCAATATCCTCTGAATATTGCATTGCAGCATTTGGCTGTCTGAAGATTACAAGCAGTTGTCGGGTTGCGAACAGGTTCCATGTTGAGTATGTTTGTAAATTGATTAGTGTGCAAGTTGGACCGCAAAACCAAACAATCTAACATAGCTGTTTATAAATATGAGGAAATGTTTGCATGTCGGATCGTTAAAATTAATGGTAATACACACTTGTATGGGATCTTGTTCATAAGTATGAATATTTATAAGTCAGACGTTTGTAAATTGGGGATCCCCAATTTAGTGTTCGATAATAAAGGCTTCAAACCTAGCACTGAGCCCATGGTCTGCCGGACAATTGTTATTTAACTCCCTGTATGCATCAGAGACATGGACAATGTAGAACAGACATGTCAAATCTCCGGAGAAATATCACCAGCAATGCCGTGCGAAATCCTGTAAATCCATTAGCAGAATTGGCGCTTACATTGGGGCTGTTGAGAAATTCAGATTATTAATTTATGATAAGTCTTATTTAAAATTCTTAATCTCTTAAAATCTTCCATTTTAATGGAGGGGAAACTCTCACAGAGCATGTTTGAGAATGCATCCGGCTGCAGGCTTCCTTAGGCCCAGGGCTAAAGGAGAAGGATGTCTGCAGCTGGCCTCGGGCTCTATGTTGAGCAATGCCAATGTCCAGAAGGACATGCTGCCTCAGAGCATGCACTATTATTCAGAAATGTGTGTTGTACTGAAAAGCTGCAGGTGAGTCAGAATTGCTGTCAGTGTAATTTTGTGATTGACCTTTCTCAAAAAAAATCACCACCAAATAATTTAGCTGTTTAATTGTGTAAATTGACTGCAATAATTAACAGTCGTAATATACATGAACCTTTTTAAAGTTAGTTTTTCTATTAAACTTTTGCATGTGTTTTAATGATAAATTGATAAAAGAAATTGTGCCCACAAAGTAAATCACTTCATTAATAAAAGCAGAATGTCTGAATTTAAAGTCTGTGTTAAAATTCAGTGAAGTTTACGGTAAGCTGTGCAATGAGAATTCTAATAGCAGTTGAACTGCAGCAAATAAGTTTATGACTGAGTGACAATTCACCACACAACCTGGTAATTTTGGTCTTTATTCAAATCAGTAACTTCAAGAAAATAAAACTATGATCATGCAAATATTATTCTGAGCTTTTACATTTCTACCACTTTGTGTGCTTTTACATTCATTACTAAAGACACTTTTGTTTTTTATATTCAGGGAAGAATGGACAGAAGCAATCCAAGCAGTAGCAGATAGACTTCAAAGGCAAGAGGAAGATCGAATGAACTGCAGTTCCAGTCCCAATCTAGATATTACAGGGGAGGATGAAATGGATACCTCTCTCAGTCATCCCAAACGCAGAGTGGTAAGAGCACTTACTATTGTTTTATAACAATATATTGTTTTATATTGTAACATTTAAGTCTTGCAATGATTTTGCCAAAAGAACTTGTAATTATTTAGCAATGATCAAATGCAAAAGTAGATTTGAGGCGTTCGTCCTTTATTTCATTCTTATAGTGATATTTGCAAATGGAGATGAGAATGGGGAGGCTATGATGGGGTCCATGATATTATGTAGCATATAACTAGTTAGTTAAAAAAAAAACTCATGGCTGGTTTGGCTTTGCAGTTTGAAAAGATTTTAAGTTCAGTGAGTTAGTTTTTAATGGACTGAGAGTTTGCTTTTGCTCAATAGGTTTGCAATCCATTTTAATCCTGTTACACTGTTCATTTACACTGATCTGAGATCCTGCTGGAATCATAGAAAAAGTTGTATTCTGGTGAGAGCTATTGCATTATGATTGGTTGGATTATCTTCTCAGCCAATCAGCTTTGATCCTGTTAGTTCTTTGCAATTGATATGCCTATTCGAAGCAACAGCTCTCCACATATATTTTGTGTCGCATTCCTTTGTCACTCATTGGGTCAAATCTTTGGGACACTGGCATACATTTTCATATTGCCATTCTACTGCTAATTTTTTTATGATAGAGCTCTACATTCGTAGCCAGGGCTTCTGACCCCAGCCTCTTCAGAAATGCAGAATAGTCCCCAATCAAAGGCCTTCTTCATAACAGTATCATTGATAGAGGAAAACCAGTCATGTCCCATTAGCTGCCGTATGCTAAGATATCATTCAGTAGTACACAGAAAAGTTTTGGGACGTTAAAGTAGGCTTTTAGTGAATGACTATCAGTGAGATAAGTGGGTAGTTAGAACGATGGTGAGTTCAGGTTGAGGGCTTGAGGCTGGAGGGGTGTTGGAAGATCAGGGATGGAATTGTGGGGATTGTAGGTAGAGTGAAGAGTGCGCTGATAGGGAGGGTTGCATTCTACATGGTTATAATCTGCCTAACGTTTCACAGAATTCCTACAGGGTAGAAATAGGCCATTCGGTCCAACAAGTCCACACCACCATCCGAAGAGCATCCCACCTCGACCCTTCCCCTACCCTTTCCTTGTAACCACGCATTTCACATGGCTAACGTACCTGACCTACACTTCGCTGAACATTATGGGCAATTTAGCATAGCCAATCCACCTAACTTGCACACCTTTGGACTGTGGGAGGAAATCGGAGCACCTGGCAGAAATCTGCGCAGACACGAGGAGAATGTACAAACTCCACACAGACAGTCGCTTGAGGGTGGAATTGAATCCTGGTCCCTGGTGCTGTGAGGCATTTGTGCTAACCACTGTGCCGCCGTGTCGCCCAAATGTGGGTTTGTTGAGATGGGTTTTCTAGAGTTTGAATGATAGCTCATTCAGCAGGAAGTCATTTATAATCTACAAGTTGAGGAAACATAGCCAACAGGATTCAAACCCTGTGTGGGGAAACCCCAATGGATTTCACATTAGTCAGTCAGAGTTCTTACACTGAGTTGGAGACATTCACACAGAATTCTTATACTAAGTTGGAGACATTTGCATAGTGTTCCAGAAAGCTGGGGGATTGCCCATTGGAACTTTAAACTTCCTGGGCAATTCCTGCTATATCAATGGTTTCCGGACTTCTGCGTTCTGACTTATACCTTTTAAGGGTAAGGGGCTGGAGAGGAGAAGTTCCTTTATGAACTTTTTACTGAAGCCCATTGCCTGGTTTGCATTTTAAAAATACTATTTATTAAAGAAAAATGGTGTATAGTATGTTTTGTTTCCCTGTTTTGCATTTAACCTTACTTTAGATGTGTTCCCATTGTGTCTTTTAGCTCTACTTTCACTATTTATGTTTCCTCTATCTTTTTTTAAAATGCTTGTTCCACACAATAATAAGTTTTAGGTTATCAGCTTTTCTTTTGAAATTTCTATTTAGCATCAGTTTTTTTCCAGTTCCAATTCCAATTTCCCACTGTCTCTTTTTCTCCCACCACACAACTAAAAATATATCCCCACACTATTTTCTCTACTTCCTCAACTGTCAACCATCTTTCCTTCCCCTTTCACAACTGCAAATGTCTCAAAACTGGCAACTGCAGGATGAAGTCAATGCCACATTTCAGATCCTGCAGCTTTAAGGGCCAGACAAGTTGCATTGGGTGGATTAGATTGAACTGGGTCGGGTTGGGTCGAATCGAGAGATACTTTGATTGCGGGAAGAGATTGGTGTATAAAGTTAATGACTAGCTCAACAAACTGTCACATCAATACAGCATCTAGCCAAGCAAGATAGTAGGTTATTTTACGCACTTTATAAGAATTATGGTTCATGCATGGCAGTTTGTAGCAATGTCAAATTTTCAACTATCTCCTGTTTCCAGAGCCAGATTTGAGACTGTACCTGTATATTCAAGCAATGACTTTATGTATATATGGAATTATCACTCCTAATAGTTTTCCTGTGCAAGATACAGTCAGGTACAGTAGTTGAAACATAGCTCTTTATTACATGGTTTAATTTCTTCCTCTACTTCCCAAACTACCACTGGATGTTGTTAAATGCAAAGATTGTTACTTCAATAATTCCATTTAGTTGAAATTCCCAATTGAAAGCTTGCAGTAACTATGACCTGATAATAGCATGTCAGTGCTGCCTATCTTGCTGTAGGAAGAAAGGTACATTTCTAACTTGCTTTTTAAAACAAACTGCTATAAAAATATAAATGGGAAGAATGGCCCAAACCAATGTATTTTCTGCTTTCCACTTTTCTCTGACTACATTGCTTAAAAGGTTCTTTTCCTAGGAACTGACAAAATCTTTCCTAACTAAAATAAGAACAGCTATGGCTTGACACACAATATATTATTAACAGTGACTCCTATTGATTGAGAGGACAGGGAAAAGAAACATGCTTTCATTTTCAAAAAAAGTTAAATATAAAATTGTATTCATCAGAAAGGGGTACTCATGAAGTTACTGCATTTAATTTAAAGAAGTAGTATGTCAATATTGTAATTTAAATTGCAGTTATTACTCGAAAAGGTGGTTTAAAAATGAGCTTTTCAATCATCTAACCAAATTTAATATTGCTAATTTGCTAAAATTTTTCCACATGTGGAGCCTTGATCAGTGAATCACTCGAGTGATCATTGTAAATTGTGTCATACAGAAGCTGAGCGCAAGAACCAGAGAATTTACAAAATTGGTGATCTTTTTCTCTCTCCCTTATTAAATACATTGGCTTCCGGTTTATATACAAATGAAAAGAGGAGCATAGATTGTTGATATAATTAGATCATATAGTTGATAATACATTCCTATTTGGTAATGATCCTAGAAATATGGAAGTAAATCAGGTACTTTAAAATATTTAAAAACTAGAAATACGCTTGGAAGTATATGTGTGTATATAATTACAATGATTATGCGAAGGCCTCTTTTTTTTTTACTAATCGGAATGCTGGTTGGACTTCTGGTTAGCTCATCTTAACTTAAACTCCAGGGCTGATAACAGTTAGATTCTAACTACAGGTTAGAGATGAAAAAGAATGACTGGAACTTAGTCACTATCCAGCAAACTCTATTGATCATATTAACAATTGAGCTCTATCAAGCAGTCAGCAACACCTAAAGGAGCACTCGAGAGGAGGACCCTTAATCAGGCAGTCTGAGACAGAAGTAAATTAATTGGATATGACCAGTGGATAAAGATTCTTTTGCCTTTCTCATCTGTTTGAAGTAAATAGTGTGCAGTTAGGCTTATGGCCTGGCAAGACAATTTTGTTGCGTGGAATGTCCATCCTGTATTTTGTGGGGGACGATGTGTTCCAAGCAATCACTTCTGTAGGAAATTACTGCAAAAACCTGACATCTGGGTTTTGGACCACTACATAGTCTAAAAAGACCAGTCAAGTAGTGCAGGGGTTCTATCTGAGAGCTGCTCTGTGTTGTCTCACTTAGTAATCAGTTTTCCATTTTGGATACAGGTGAGGGACATGGTTCACCAAGGGAACGTTCTGAGAACCAAGCTTATGGTGCAGCAACAAAAACAGAAATTGTTGGAAAACCTCAACAGGTCTGGCAGCATCTGTGGAGGGAAAGAAACATTAATGTTTTGGGTCCAATGAACCATCTTCAGAACTGGTGGTGGCTAGGAAAAGGTTAGTATTTATCTAGAAGAGTGGAGGAAGAGCCCAAAGAAAGAGAAAAACCTTTAGTAGCAGATGGAGTCACTGTGATATATCTGCAAAGCTGAGAACTAAGTGGATAACATGTTTAACAAAGTGGTCATACCACAGATTAAGACCAGGTTAGTAGTTTTGCTCTCTCTTTGGGCTCTATTTCCTGTTATTGTTTACTCCTTCCAAATCCCTCTCCCCCACCTAATTTTTTCAATAAATACCAACCTTTTTGTAGCCACCATCAGTTCTGAAGAAGGGTCACTGGATCTGAAATGTTAATTCTGCTTTCTCTCCACAGAAAATTGCCAGACCTGCTGAGTTTTTAAATCAATTTCTGTTTTTGTTGCTGATTTCCAGCATCACAGTTCTTTCGGTTTTTTGTTTCATGGCACAGCATGTGGCTCCACTATACAGGTAGAATGAGAAGAAGTGTGGCAGGGCATGAGTGATAGGTAATTCAGCAGTTAAAGGAACAGAAGGGCATTGCTGTAACCATAGACATGAGTCCAGGATGGTATGTTTCCTCCTTGGTTTTGTTGCCAAACCAGATGTAGGCTGCTCTTTGGTTTGGGGCATGGGGGTGGGTAGAATGTTTGCCAATAGCATCTACAATGTAAGTTGAAAGAAACATGAGGTCCTGAAAGTAGAATTTAGATAGTTAGGCAAAAGACTGAAAAGCGCGATCTCTAAGGTAGTAATCTTGAGATTGATTCCAGTAGCATGTGCGAGAAAGGACATGTTCAAGGAAGGACAAATTACACTGTTGTATGATAGAATTCTCCACTAAGTTTGGAAAGGATGTAGA